TACTGGACTTGGAGGATAAGGAATGCTATTAGGTTTGAGGATGCAGCTGCTAGGGTGGAAGACATGGTCTCGCAAATCATGTATATGGTGTACAAAGTTTTATATCTCTTATACCCGGTCCATATGATTACATTTTGAAACATTGGGCTGTTTAGCACCCATTTTTTGTCATAGTTTGATGGCGGTTTTTGGGTGGTGAGCTAGTCCTCATGGCTAGCTACCAAGTATAGTATTTTTGGGGGATGGATAGCATCTTTGGCTATCTATCTAGAACTGTTGTTTTTGCGTGGGCATCCTTTATGTTGGATGACCGTGGGGTTTTTGTAATTTTGTACAGTATGTACATAAACTTTCTTGGATATATATATTTACATTTTATCCAAAAAAGAAAGAAGGATCAACGGACATCTTCTAGCCCATATATATATATATATTCGAGGAATCAAGAACAAGAGGTGTGCTTGATCGAGCAATTACAGAGAGAAATACTTATAAAGAATTATCAAGACCAAGGCACTTGGACCTGCTCACGAAGTTCTAGATATAGTTTCTTTTCCCTTTTTTATCTTGTAACTAGATTTGGAGGAAAAGTTAAAGTGTAGCCTCCTCGGGTTGGGGTTGTGTGTGTGAGAGCTTTGTTGTAAAGCTGAGAGGTTCTCTACCCGCAAGATAGAGATGCATAACTCTTCCTAGAGAAGATAGAGTTGGGGTGGCTCAAGGGTAGATTAAGAGAATTTACCTTGTAACCACAAAAGGCTTTTTAGTGAAGTTGTTTAAAATTCCTCTGAGGGAGGTCGATGTTTTTTAATCCCTTTGAGCCAAGAGATTTTTCCTCGTTAAATCATTGTGCACTTTACTATTTCGGAATTTCCTAAACCCCACACTAGAATTGTGTGAAAAACTGTCACGGTTCCACACACAATTTCGGAATTCCTCCCTCTTGTGTTGCTAACCGATTCATCATAATTGATACACTTACAAAAAGTTCTTCGCCTTGCGCGCTGATTAATTTGATAAAAACCAAAGACGTCACTACCTATGGGTATGGGGGTGGGCTGAGTTCAAAGCGTTGTGAGTTTGACTATTAAATGAACGGTAGAGACGATCGAAAAGAAAACAAAGCTGATGAGGTCGATTGGAATTTTCAAAACAGATTTTGTAAAATCAAACAAAAATGCTTTGCAATGCTTTAAACGACTTCTGGTCGTATATATATAAATTAAGTTTATGGTGATCGATCTACAAAATCCTATCCTTCAACGTACTTTATCTTGTATGCCCATCTCACATCACAATCTTTTTCCAACTATTACTATACATGCATGTGGATGATGATGATTCAAGAAACAATATTACCACCTTAACTTATCGTACTTGGAAAATATAGTGCATGCGGGCTACACATGTTACGTTCCTAGCTTGTTGGTGTGAGAATAATGGAATGTTTGCTCCCTAAGGAGCCATGGCAGATGTATTTATATTAAAGAGAGTTTAATGTAAAGTACAATACTAAGCCTCTAATAATTCTATTACACCCCCTCAAGCTGTGCGGGAGATACAACGCGCATGTTGTCTTTTAAAAAATGAAAACGTTGACTAGAGAGACTTTTAGTAAAAATATCTGCCAATTGTAGATGAGTAGGAATGTGCTTAACAATCAGATCTCCGTGAGCAACCCGTTCCCGAACAAAATGATAGTCAATCTGGATATGTTTACTGCGGGCATGCTGAACAGGATTTGCAGTCAAATAAGAAATAGAGATATTATCACATAATAAATGTACCGGCTCCGTGATTGGCCATCCAAGCTCGAACAATACCGACCGGATATACAGTGTGTCCTGTACTGTGTAAGCAATGGCACGATATTCTGCTTCTGTGGAGGACTTTGACACGGTAGGCTGCCTCTTAGTCTTCGAAGAAACCAAATTCGGACCCAAAAAGACAGCAAAGCCTGTGGTTGACCGAGAACTATCAGGACAACCTGCCCAATCAGCATCGGAGTAAACAACTACACAGGTTGGCCGATTAGACTGCTGAAGCCATAACCCATGATCTCGTGTGCCCTGCAAGTACCTAAAAGTTCATTTGACTGCAAAAAGATGAGTGGTACGAGGAGCATGCATGAACTGAGACACTAAGTGTACTGCATAAGCAATATCTGGCCGTGTCAAAGTTAAATATTGTAATGCACCAACCATGCTGCGATACTCAGTAGAATCAGACAGTAACTCACCATCAGAAAGAGACAGAGTGGTACGAGAAGCTAACGGGGTGCGAACAGGTTATACAATATGGAAGATGAAAACGGGCTAGAAGATCAGTAACATATTTATGTTGAGAGAGAAACATACCTTTAGGTGAACGAATAGCCTCAACACCCAGAAAATGATGGAGATTACCCAAGTCTTTCATAGCAAAATGATGAGAGATAATCGAAATAAATTGGGTACGTAACAGATGACTCAGAATTGCAAGTAATAATAATATCATCCACATATAATAATAAATAAATAATAGTATTATTCTGGCGGTAAATGAACAAAGAATTATCATATTTACTACAGGAAAAATTATGTTACAGAAGGAAGCTACTGAATCTATGAAACCAGACCCGTGGAGCTTGCTTAAGACAATAAATGGCCTTACGCGGATGACATATATGATTAGGAAATTGAGGGTGAATAAAACCACGGGGCTGACGCATATGAACTTCTTCTGTCAGATGACCATGTAAGAAGGCATTTTTAACATCAAGTTGCCGTATAACCCACCCAAAAGAAATAGCAAGAGTAACTACAATACAAATAGCAGTGGGTTTTACGACCGGACTAAAGGTTTCAGAGAAATCAGTACTTGCCTGCTGATTAAAACTATGTGCAATTAATCGAGCTTTACGACGCTCTAATGATCCATCAGAATGATATTTAGTTTTATAAATCCACTTACATCCAACAATATTCTTAGAGCTATCAAATGGCACCAACTCCCAAGTTTTATTATAAATGAGTGCATTAAATTCATTAGTCATCGCCTCACGCCATTTTTAAATGTTTATTTGCCTCAGTAAAACAGGTAGGATCTGCAGGAGTAATAACCGTACTTAAATTAAAAATTGTTTTGGGCTTAAAAATTCCTGACTTAGCACGGGTTTGCATGGGGTGCTGATTAACTACCGTAGTGCACGTAGGTGATGGGGGGTCGGGTGATGCACAGTCGGTCAAAGAGATGATATCTGGCAGGCTGGACGGAGTTCGGCTGACGGAGGCTGGAGGTGAGGGTGGCGGGTTGTTGGTTGGCGCAGGGAAGCTTGACGATGGTACATAGGAAGTGATAGGACTACTATGTGGCCGAGAAGGGGATGGGAGCCGTTGCGGGAGTTGATTCATGGTGATGATAGGGGACTGGACTGGTGGGTCAAGGGTTACATCAGTTAGGTTCATCGTAGAGTGTGTAGTAGGGATAGAATGTGTTGGACCAGGTGATAGTGTTTTAAAGGGATATGTGTCCTCATGAAACCTAACGTGATGACTAATATAGACGCGACCTGTGATAGGATCAAAACAACGATAGCCCTTATAATCAGATGCATAGCCAAGAAAAACACACTGAACAGAACGAGGCGATATTTTATTAGCTGAGGTGGCTGAAAAAATCGGATAGCAGGCAGATCCGAAAACTCGCATAAAGGAGTAATCCAGAACACGGTTAAAAAGTTTTTGGTACGGAGAAAAGTCATTTAAGGTAGGAGAGAGTAATCTGTTAATAATATATGCAGCAGTAAAAATGGCATCAACCCAATATTGACTCGGAACCGAAGCTTCAAGATGCATGGTCCGAGTTAATTCAAGTAAATGACGATGTTTGCGCTCAGCAACCCCATTTTGTTGAGGTATGTCAGGACATGATTTTCGAAAATATATACCATTAGCCAAGAAAAACTGCTGCATATTATGATTAACAAATTCACCCCCTCCATCACTTTGAAAAATTTTAATTTTATGATTAAAAAGAATGTCAACCAAAGCCTTGAAATTTTTAAAGTGCATAAAAACCTCACTTTTGTGATGCATAGGATAAGTCCAAGTATAGCGGGAAAAATCATCAATAAAACATACATAATATTTGAATCTCATGTTGGAAAATACAGGAGATTGCCACACATCGGAATGAATAATTTCTAGAGGGAAAATTGAATTATGACTAGCATCCATAAAAGGCAAACGTTGTGATTTTCCTAAGCGACAAGTCACACACTCATGAGTAAAAGGAGAATGACTACATAGAAATTGTTTTCTCTTAAGAAACTGTAAAATACTATCACCACAGTGACCTAATCTACGGTGCCACACAGGGCCAGAAGCTAAAACTGAAGCAAAAACTAATGGTGAAGATGGCGACAGATGGAAAGGATAAAGTGGCCCACTACTGGTACCTCGTAGAAATACTGCCCCCGATGCTTTGTCCTTAATCAAAAAGGACTTTTTATAAAAAATTACAGTATAGTTATTATCAGCACAGAGCCTTTGAATTGAAATTAAATTATATTTTAACTGAGGCACACAATAAACAAATTTTAATGTAAGAGGACGATCAGAAGTAGGTAATGCAACATCACCAACATGACTAATGGGGAGATAGGTGCCATTTGCAACACTAACAGAATTATGTCCGGTGTAGGGAGATTTATTAACTAAATTACCTTCAGTTGCAGTCATGTGAGCAGAAGCCCCCGAATCCGGAAACCATAAAGTAGGATTAGTGTCACCAGGAGTAGTCAACAGAGCAGGGGTGGAGGTTTGTGTGAAACGGGAGGGACAAGTAACAGCAGAATGACCTGCAGAAAAACAAATTTGACAGATAACATGACAGGAAACAGACCCAAGAATACTCCCGTCTGATGGCAAGCCTGCAGAACTAATGTTAGTAACATAAACAGGTAATGCATTAATATTTAAATGTGACATAGCAGAATTACAAATAACAGTACCCGTAGATGTCACACCCCATGCAGGTGGACCACCCCCTCCAGGGTTATAAGCTGGCTGCCCCTGAGTTTGTTGGCGGCTGACCATACTGGACTGGGTAATGCCCTCTGCCACGGCCCCTACCACCGCGGCCTCACCCGCGACCGCGGCCCCTGCTGCGTTGATAAGAGCCTTGCTGCCTCTATTGCCCGACCGGGTGCTGAGACTGCCCGACCGGGTACTGTGAGCCCAAATGCTGCTGGCCGGCCTGCTGACCAGTGGACTGCTTGGATAAAGTGACCGCAGCGCCGAAGGCCTGATAGAGGGATGAGGACTCCTCGCCTGGGAGCGTAGATAAATAACTTGTTGTTCTAACTCAAGAAGATGATTGCGAAGAGTTTCAAACGGGAAGGTTTGTCCAAATAATGACACAACGGTGAATAAGGATTCATACTCAGGTCCCAATCCCATAATAGTAGCCTTTAAAATTTCACGAGGAGGCACATGGCAATTGATTGTGGCAAGATCATCAGCTAAAGTTTTAATTTCTCTCAGATAATTATCCATGGACTGATCAAGTTTCTTTTTGATTTGATTAAATACCTTTTTAATTCCATAGATCTAGCTAAACGACTAGCAGACATAAATCGAGACTCCAACCGCTCCCAAATCTCATAGGAATGTTTTAAATCACGAACATCAATAAGAACATCCCGAGATAGGGTTGCAAATAACCAAGAACGAATTGTTTGATCAATTCGCAACCCAGTGGAAAATTCTGGATTGGGAGTTTGACGGTTAAGAGCATCTATGGAATAAGTAGGTGGTACCTGAATGGAGCCATCAACCATGCCAAGAAGAGCTTGGGAAACCAGAAACGATTCGAACTGTGTCCGGCAGGTAGTGCAGTCTTCCACCGCTAAAAGTTTGGTAGTCACAATATTTGTGACATTAGTTGCCACATGAGAGATAGTTTGGGCAAGTTCCGTGAGTAGAGTCCCGGTCGGGCTGGCTAGTGGTGTGCGAGGTGGGATCATGAAGGTGGAGACACCAGGTGAGCCAACAAACGTAGGGCCAGCAAAGGTAGGGCCGGCTGAGAGGGGCGGCGGCTCTAGAGGGACCGGCTGCACGGGAAGGGGAGCCGACCACGGGAACACTGGTGGAGCATTCTGAAAGAGAGAGTATGGCATAGAGACTCGGCTTGGTGAAGCAAAGTTGGAGGAGAACGTCACACCGGAGGAGACTGATGTTGGTGCCGGCAGCGATCCAAAAGGGGGAGGAGCGTCGATGGTGATGACGGTTGCTGCTGCTGCTGCTGTGGAGACGGACTGCACCGAAGCGGTTGCCATTGTGCTGGTGGCGGAAGCTGTCTTCGACATCTTGCAGCAGCTGGCGGCGGCGTCGAGCAGAAGCAGGCGGCGGCCAAAGAGTGTTAGGCGGCGGCCAAAGAGTGTTAGGCGGCGGCTCTAGGGTTTGCTCGCGGCACCGTGTGTAGAAAGAGAGAGAGGATCGAGGAAAAAAAATTAATGTGCTCTTGATACCATGTGAGAATAATGGAAAGGTTACTCCCTAAGGAGCTATGACTGATATATTTATATTAAAGAGAATTTAATGTAAAGTACAATATTAAACCTCTAATAATTCTATTTGTTGGATTGGCGGGTGTGACGGACTCCATCACTATTTATTTATTTATTTATTTGTGAATTCTAGCCTAGCTTTATACGTACGTTAAATATAATTTTCTAATTTATTACGTGGTACTAAATACTCTCCATTCTCCAATCCAATCCTTTTCATATGCCTCGTCTTTCTTGCCCTTTTAGATGTCCGCCGTCATTGTGTATGGATCGAATTCTATGCATATCTTATATTCATTTTATGTTTATGTTTGTACTTTCAACCAATTTTAATTGTTTATGGTTATCAAAATTACACACTTTTCGTGTAATACTTTAGTTTCTTAAATATTTGTAACTTGCTTAGATTAGGATTACTCTGAACCTAAAACATGTCGAAGTTAATTCAAAGGATCAACCGTGGAATCCTAAAAGACCAAGGAATGTGCAAAGAAACAAGACAAAATAAAGATTTGGAAATTTGCTCATGTACACGGTCAGGTACATGACATATCCAATCAGGTATTTGCTTCATTCGGGCATCTAAATCAAATCCAGGAACACACGATCATGCATTAATATTTTGTAATGATTTGTTTATACCCGATCGGGTAGATCGACGTACCCGGTCAGGTATGATCGGATTTTGTAGCTTCCAAGCTATTGCCTCAGATTCCGGATCGAGTACCTTATATACCTGGTCAGGTACCTGACCCTGCCCAGCTCCAAACCTGTATAAGAGCACCTATTTCCTTTCCTTTTGAGATATCAATTCACATATACTTTTAAGTTAAGTTTAGAATAGTATTTTCTTTATATTTCTTTCATGTTTAGTCTCCAAATGAGGAGCTAAACTCCTATTTCTTGGTTTTGCTTCTGAAGCTTGTTGAATGTTAAAGTTGTGAGTTATTTTCTTAACTTCTTCCATTGAATATTAATTCTTCTCTTATTCTATTTCTATATTAATGTTGGCGTGGTGTTGCTAAATGACACTTAGTTAGCGCTTTGACATTAATAACTACTAGAAATGACCAATGAGCCGATGATTAATCATTGATGAGTTCACAAGTAAGTAACTTCGGGTTATTAACGCATGATCTAATGGTTAGTAATCTTAAGAGGGATTAATTGTGCTGTTTAAATCAAAACTATTGTGTTGAGGTTATCAATCTCAATTGATTTCATCGAAGAGTTAAAATATTAAATGCTATTATCAAGTTTGTATATGGCTAATAGTAAGGGTTGTTAATGAACGGTCTCGTTATTAATAACTACGTACCCTTGATGAATTGGAGATACTACCCGATTGAGTATTTGAGAGGGGATAAATTAAAGATATAACCAGGATGGATAAATATTTCAATAAGTGGAAAGTAGCAAAATCAAGTTTTTTATTTCATTAATTAAAACTCATATGAGTCGTTCATCTTAGTGTTACAATTAATATTCTTAAAATAATCATATCTTAACCCCCTTGGGCAGTAGAGGACCTAAGGGGGGGGGGGGGGGGTTAGGGGGGTACGTGCCCCCGCTTCGGGCCCGGAATTTCACTAGTAGCACTTAAGGTAAAAACCAATGCCCTTACTTCAGGCCCGAAATTTCACTAGTAGCGCTTAAGTTATAAACCAGTACCCCCGCTCTCACAAATCTCTGGATCCGCTACTGTCTGACCCCTGGTTACAAGTTCATTGAAGAGAAATACTCTTTTCCCTGTGAATACGAACCTTAGCTTACTACACTATATGTACTACGTTTAAGTGCAAGTATTGGTTTTATTTTGAGACACACACGACTTTAGTGTCGTCATTGTCAATTGACCTGAATACTATACCACTGCTGAATTCAGCAATATCCAAGTTAAAGTTACTTTATTACTCCGTATATTTTATTCCCAAAATAGGATTCATGTACTCCAAATTATTAGGAGAGTTTTATTCTTTTAATAAAACTAAATAATTAAGAATTATTTTTAGAAGAAAATATGTTTATTCCTATTTTAGAATTTCAACTATTTTTCTTGACCAATTTCAAGTAAAAGAATACGGGGGATCAGCAATATATTATACTTTATTACTTGTACAACAATCCTAACTCCATTTAATTAATTACTATGGGGTATGTTTTGTTGAAAAGATCCATGCGTACAATTATTTCTCCCAAAAACATTGTTCAAGAATTTCAACCGTAGAATGATTTGGACATCAAAAAATTAGGAATTAGATGAGGCATGCATCTAAACCCCATCGTCCGCAAATTATACCGTGGGATCGGCCCACCTTTCATATGGTGTGCCGATCCCACTTTAGGCAAGTTCTTTTTTCTTTTCTTTCTTCCTGGAGCAACGTAAATCCCTTTTCCATTGCTTTTCTCTTTATTTTTCTTTTGTTCTTCAATTCTTTTCTTTTTCCATCAAATTAAAATACTAAAAATTTAATGGCAATCATACTTTTCTTTATCTTCATCTTAAATTATAATTGAATCTATTTTTTTTATTCTTTAACAATGCATAACAAAAAGTTTATTAATCTAAATAAAATAAGTATATTGCAATTAATATTCATACACTATTTTTGTTTTTGTATTAATTTTTATATTCATATACTTTTTTTGTAATATACTTTTTATATTCATACACTTTTTTGTTATATTTTTTATATGGAGAAACTTTTTCTATAATATAACTTTTTATCACTTTTATATATTTTTAGAGGTTTTTAAGACATTGAGTTTGTTTATTTTGATTTTTGAAGTTACATTTGATATTATATCATGAAGTTATATCTTCTTCCACGCGAGTTACATCTTATTGTACGCGAGTTACATCTTAATATACGCGAGTTACATCTTAGTGTATGTGAGTTACACTACGGAATAAACTCTTGTTATATCATTTTTATAGCCCTAATATTAAACATAAAACATATTCACTATTTAAAAAAAGTAATTAAGCTATTAGGATCAATTTTTCATTGTTTTCATTTAAATCAATGTTTATGACATATATATTATTCTTAAACACACACAAAAAAAATGTTCTATTTTTCAACAAGTTACATTCTGTATACATCTAAGTTATATTTGTCATCAACACGAGTTACATTTGTAATAACATGAGTTACAATAAAAAATCAACGCCTGCTATTGAAACAAAAAAAATTAAAAAAATTATTTTTTGTGGTCATGATATTAAAAACAAAACATATTCACAATTTATGTAAAGCAATTGTGAAATTAGACTCTTTTTTTCATTGTTTACATTGAAATCAATATTGTATTTCTAATACTATGTATTTGACAAGTTACATTTCGAATGCACTTGAGTTACATCAATCAATAACGTAAGTTACATATCTTTACTCCCGAGTTACACCATTCATGCTACTGGGACAAAAAGAAAGAAAAAATAGTTACTGTACACGCGTGTACTGTTCACCGTGTACTGTTCACGCGGTTTTTTTTTTAAATGGGTAAAGCTACGTCGTTTTGAAAGTGGAGGATCATGCTCACCGTGGGATGATCCCACGGTATACGAACTGCCATCCTCCCATATATAGATGTTTATCCGAAATTTGCGACATCATTATGAACAGCCACACGTAAGGATAAAATAGTACTGTAGCTAGGCCGGTAATAGTCGATGTTCAACGATTTCCATGTATAAATTTAGAAATTGCAGTCCTTTAGCTTTTATGCATGCTCATAACCTATCTATCTATCTATATATATATATATATATATATATATATATACTATACGTCCTCTGGCAGCAAAACCAGCTAATTAAAAAACATGAAAGTCTCGAGGAAGAGAAGTAACGACGGTATTGGGGTACTGTTCGTGTTGTTAGCTTTATTTTCAGCCGCCGCAGAAGGTGGGCGTAGGAAGCTGAGATCAGGTGAGGAGGGGTGGATAACGGTAGACGGCGGCCACTTCGAGCTCAACGGCTCTCCTTACCTCTTCAACGGCTTCAACTCCTATTGGTTGATGCATGTCGCCGCCGACGTCGGGGAGAGGAACAAAGTCACCGAGGTTTTGAGGGAAGCCTCCACAGCCGGTCTCTCTGTTTGCCGCACTTGGGCTTTCAGTGACGGCACCCATTATAACGCACTCCAAACGTCCCCCGCCGTCTACGACGAACGTGTTTTTCAGGTATGTGCATATATTTAATTATACTTTGTACTTAATCAATTGATCGAACTTAATTATATCATGCATGTATGTATGTATATATGTAGGGGCTTGATTTTGCGATCTCGGAGGCAAGAAAATTCGGGGTGCGTTTGATACTTAGCTTTGTAAACAACTACAATGACTTTGGAGGAAAAGCACAGTACACGGAATGGGCAAAGAATAACGGAACGCAAATCACCAGCGAAGACGATTTCTACACTCATCCCGTCCCAAAGGAATATTACAAGA